GCTACCACCACTGACTACTCTGACTGGGATCACAACAGAGGGTTCTGGACAGAGCTGGAGAAGGATGTAGAACAAAATTCTAACACACACAAAAAAGACCAGATTTACTGGCCTGACAGACTGGAGAAACCCGGAGAATATGGCTCCTGGACACCCTTTAAGCTCAGTGATGAAGCCCCTCCCGAAGTTCACTGTTCAGCCACGGAATAGACAGCCTCATAAAACAAAACAGGACTAATGAGGCACAGCAGTCCAGAGACAAGGACTAGAAGGCAGGAGGGGACAGGAAAGCTGGTGATAGGGAACCCAAGGTTGAGAAGGGACAGTGTTGACATATCATGGGGTTGTTAACCATTGTCATAGGGCAATATGTGTACTGTTTAATGAGAAACTATTTGTTCTGCAAACCTTCATCTAAGGTACAAAAAGAAAAGAATTATGTGAGATCAAATTGACAGTAGCAACTCAAAAGGTTTGATGGGAAGCTTAGGGGACAGTGAGTTGAAGATAATGGTGATGGAATAATTGGGAAAAGGATAGTGAGAATAGCAGCACAGCTGGAAGAATGTAATCAATGTCACTGAATTGTACATGTAGAAACTTTCAAAATGCTGTAACTTTGGCTATGTATATTTTCACCAAAAAAGATTCTCAAGGTCGAGAAGGGAGAGTGTTGACATGTCGTGGGGTTCTTAACCAATGTCATAAAACAATATGTGTACTGACTGTTTAATGAGAAACTATTTATTCTGTAAACCTTCATCTAAAGTACAATAAAAAAATTTTTAAAAAAACAAACAAAATTAGTGCAGGTGGACTGCACGAAGACCATGCTCTTTGTAACAAAATTCTCAATGAAACACAAGACTTCAAATGATGATGAGACAGAGTCAATGAGGTCTTTTAACATGTGTAAACTGGATGAAAATAAACAAGTGAGATTTTGCCTTTTATTTCCTAAATTCCTGATAGAATGGTTCAGTTGCCAAAAGGGCCAGATTTGGAAATGTAGGATTTGAGACTAAATTATGATAGGGTACATAATTGTATGGGCAAGGGAAAGGAATTATATTAGCTATTATTTGCTGAGCATGGGACAGGGCCTTCACTGTATGAGACCCTTACATAAATTAACTCACTTAGGCCTCAAGAAGTCCTCCTGGAAGAGGGTTGGAAGTTATGGTAGTATTTGAAAAATATTTACTGAAACTAAGTTTTTACAAAAATATGACATGCTATACAAAGTAAAAAATCATCTACTTGTATTCCCTCACACTCTCCCTGCCCAGGTATAAGTATTATTAACACTGGTATGTATGCTTTTAAGGTCCCTAGGTGGCGCAAACAGCTTGTGCTTGACTGCTAACCTAAAGACTGGAGGTTCAAATCCGCCTAGTGGTACTACAGAAGAAAAGTCCTGATGCTTTGCATCAGTTAAGATTACAGCTAAGAAAACTATGGAGCAGTTCTACTCTGTAACACATGGGTTGCCATTAGTCGGAATAGACTCAACAGCCACTAACAACATATATGCTTTTAGTACTCTGTGTATATGAGTTGTTTTAGTTGGGATTTTTTTTTTATTACAACATATGCACATATTGTACTGCAATTTACTTTTCTCACTCAGCAATATCTAATATACATCTTTAATGTTGGCCCATACAGATCTCTCATTTATCTGACAGCTGCCTAGAATTACATAATAGGAAGGTACACAGTTATGCATTCCCATATTAACTTCCTTTTGGGTTATCTTCAGTTCTTTCTAATAACAAAAATTCTGCAATAAATGTCTTCATGATTAGATATTTTCACAGTTTTATAGATATTTCTCAAGGATCAATTCCGAGAATTGAAATTATTGGGTCAAAGAACATGCATATTCAATGAAAGGCATTGCCAAATTCAATGGTGAGACTCTGATGAATTTAATATGTGATAGCCTGACATATGAAACAACCGAAATTTCTATTAATAGGGAATTAAATAAATGCTTTAAAATATAAGGAAACAATGGAACACTCTACAGCCATTAAAAAGAATGAGAAAGCTCTATATAAACTGATGAGGAAATAATTCCAAAATATATTTCCTAGAGATATGTAGTGATGGACTTTGGGGCACATGATCTGTAAAATCGACATGGCCCTTATCTTCCTATAAAACACATTTTATTGGAATAGTTATTGAAAAAAATCTTCTATATTCACAAACACAGTAGACATTTTGTGATGTAGAATTCAAAATTCAATGTTTCATGTACAAGTCTTCAAAGAGAACTCAGTCATGTGGAGGGTTGTTCTGGTCTATATTCTCATTCCTTCAGAAGCATGTACTCATTTTCTTCTTTCTTGGGGTTTGATTGGGTTTTTTTTTTTTTTTTCCTCTTTTTTTTTTGTGTTTTTGCTTTTACTTTTTAAAATAAGCTTCTGATGGGATGAGACCAGTGGAGTGTCTTAGATGGCTGCTTGCAAACTTTTAAGACCCCAGACGCTACTCACCAAAGTAGAATATAGAATATTTTCTTTATAAACTATGTGACGCCAATTGAGCTAGATGTTCCCTGAGACCATGGTCCCCACAGCCCTCAGCCCAGTAATTCCGTGCCTCAGGGAGTTTTGATGTGTCCATGGAGCTTCCATGACCTTGCCTTGCTTAAGCTGTGCTGGCTCCCCCAGTATTGTGTACTGTCTTACCCTTTAGCAAAGTTACCACTTATCTGTTGTCTATTTTTCCATCCCCACTCCTCCCTTCCCTCATAACCATCAAAGACTGTTTCTTTTTGTGTGTCAACCTTTTCATGAGTTTTATAGTAGTGGTCTCATACAATATTTGTCCTTTTGTGATTGACTTTTTTCACTCAGCATAATGCCCTCCAGATTCAGCCACGTTGTGAGATGTTTCGCAGGTTCATTATTGTTCTTCATCATTGTATAGTACTCCATTGTGTATATGTTCATTTTTGAGATGTACTATATCATGCTGACTTTCTGCTATGGAATGTATCATAAAGCACATAGGGTTTTTCCCCCTTCTCAATTATTTAGGTACATTTTGAGACAGACATAGAAATAGAAAATTTTTTATGCTAGGCTAAGTGGAATCCTCGAACGTCTTTGGATAGCGCAAACAATTTGCCCTGGGCTGCTCACCTAAAGGTTGGTTGTTTGAACCCACTCAGCAGTACCACAGAGGAAAAAAACCTGGTGATCTGCTTCCATAAAGATTACAGGTAAGAAAACCTTATGGAGCAGTTCTACTCTATGAGCTGGAATCAACTTGGCGGCAACCAACAAGTGGGATCCTCAAGGGAAGGCATAGTGTCATATTAGTTTTCTGCATCCCTAATGTTTGGTAAATAATGACTGAATAACTGAAAATTTTTCTTGACAGGAAAATAAACTTTTGGAGCATCTTCTTGGATAGCTCACATGCAGAGCTTGTGAATGAACAGTGGAGTTTTCGGAAAAGTGAGAAGAGCTTGAAATGTATCCAATACTGCCTCCAGAATTTTCCAGGATTTGGTGTGCTAGGTCCAGGGGGCACTCCCACCTCCTGGATTGTTATGGAACAGTCTAGTGAGTTAAGAATGGGCTACACTGTCCCCAAATGCCAGGGTCAAGGCAACATGTGGCAAATTGGTTCCATTTTGAAAAGTTTCTTACTCAGAAAAATATCCCATTTTATTTATGTGTAACACATGATAATGAGAAAACCCAAGACACACTAAAAACTTTTGGGTTTAAAGTTGGCCCTTATCGCTGGCCTCAGTGGATATGCACACCCCAGAAATATTGTTGATTAGCACTGGTGTCCATTTCAAATCTTCCTTAGCAGGGTAAAGGAATCAGTACAAACATTACCTAAGACCACTCCTTAAATAAACTTTTATTCTCACCACCCTCCATATCCTTACAACAAATTAGAAGCTTGACACTTTAGAGTCATACTTTTTCTTCATGGTGATAGACATCTCAGAATTAAAATCACTCAATGTCAATCATTGTTGCCAAGATAACCTTTTAAAAGCAATACATTCTTTCTTGAAGAAGACTTCTTCCATGAAAGAATCCTGCTTCTTCATGCTTCTGTGTTTGAAAATAAAAAGTCTGCTCTGAAAAGTCTCCTCCAGTATACGCCCCTTCCTCCCACAAGGTTTTCCAAAGCATCTTTCAAAAGCCCTCAACATCATTGCTTTTGATCCTGGGTGCCCTCTAAGGTGCTTTGAGACACTCTATTGAATTAAATTATATGACTATCAGTGGACGTTTGGTATTCTAACTAGCTTTTCACCATGGGGCTTGCTGGGTTGAGTTGTGTGACTTGACTTCAAAATTTCAATATTATTTTTATATCTATGCTGTATTAGTTTCCTATTACCACTATAACAAATTACCACAAACCTAGTGGCTTAAAGCAACACAAATTTATTCTCTGACAATTTTGACAGTTAGTAGTCCAAAATGGATCTTACAGGACATCCAAATGCCCTGAGGGACTGAGTTACTGGGCTGAGGGCTGGGGACCATGGTCTAGGGGGACATCTAGCTCAATTGGCATAACATAGTTTATAAAGAAAATGTTCTGCATCCAACTGTGGTGAGTAGTATCTGAGGTCTTAAAAGCGTGCAAGCGGCCATTTAAGATACATCTACTCTTCCCATCCCAGCTGGAGCAAAGGAGAATGAAGAAAACCAAGGACACAAGAGAAAGATTAGTCCAAAGGACTAACGAACCACAATTACCACAACCTCCTCAAGACTGAGCCCAGAACAACTAGATGGTGCTCTGGCAAGGATCACAATAGATGGTCCTGGACAGAACTGGAGAAAAATGTAGAACAAAATTCAGATTCACAAAAGAACAAAGACCAGGCTTGCTAGTCTGACAGAGACTGGAGAAACCCCGAGAGCATGGTCCCCGGACACCCTTTTAACTCAGTACTGAAGTCACTCTTAAGGTTCGCCCTTCAGCCAAAGATTAGACAGGTCTAAAGGGCCAACAATAACACATTTCAGGAATGTGTTTCATAGTTCAATCATGTATACAAGACTAATGGGTACACCAGCCCAAAAGCAAAGACAAGAAGGCAGAAAGTTTCAGGTAAACTGGAAGAATGGAAACAGGGAACCCGAGGTGGAGAAGGGGAGAGTGTTGACACATTGAGGGGTTGGCAACCAATGTCACAAAACAATTTGTGTAGTAACTGTTTAATGAGAAACTAATCTGCTCTGTAAACTTTCACGAAAGCACAATTTTAAAAAATGGGTCTTACAGGGCATGGTGGGTAGAATTGTGTTCCCCTAAAAGATACATTCAGGTCCTAACCCCCAGAACCTGTGAACATGACACTATTTGGAGATAATAATCAAGATAAGATGAAGTCATACAGGATTAGGGTGGACCCTGATCCAGTGACTGGTGTCCTTGTAAGAAGAGGGAAATATGGACGCAGACACAGAAGACACAGGGAAGAAGGCCTTGCGTCTATGGAAGCAGAGATTAGAGTGAGGCATCTACAAGCCAAGGAATGCCAAGGAACCACCAGAAACTAAGAGAGAGACATGACACAGATTCTCCCTCAGACCCTTCAGAAGGAACTGACTCTGCCAACAGCTTGATTTCAGACTTCGAGCTTCCAGAATCGTGACAGAATAAATCTCTGTTGTTTTAAGCCACCCAGTTTGTGCTAATTTGTTATGGCAGTCCTAGAAAACTAATGTCCAGGGCTAAAATCAAGATGTCAGCAGGGCTGGTTCCATCTGGAGGCTTTAAGATAGAATGCATCTGCTTGCCTTTTCCAGCTTGTAGAGATGGTCTTCATTCCTTGACTGTGGGCTCATACCACGTCACATTTTCTCCCTCTGCTTCCATAGTCATCACATCGTCTTCTTCTCTTCCATAGTCAAACCTTTCTTTGCCTACTTCTTATAAGGACACTGTGATTAATTTAGGGTCCACCTGGATAATTCAGGATGAGCCCCCCATCTCAAAATCCTTAACTTAATCATATCTGCAAAGTCCCTTTTGCCATGTAAAGTAACATTCACAGGTTCTAAGGATTAGGACCTGGATATCTTCGGGGGCCATTATTCAGCCTACTACATATGCGTATTAAGGTTGTATTTCTTCAAGAGCAAAGTTACCTCATAGTTCCAGAATTTATATGTTCTCAGTTTAAGGCTAACTAGCATTTCTATAACCAACGTTCAAATGCTTGGGAGAAAGAATGTACTCTTGCCTGAGTTCTTTGTCTACCTAAAATCCTATCAACTATCACTCAGGGGGTCAAGGTGATGTATACAAATTGGTAATCAGAGCCTATTCTTGTAAGAATGTAGATCCTCAACTGAGAAGACATCATAGATAATGTTTACTTAAATTTAAGCAAAGAAAAATCAACATCTTCCTCTTCAAAATAACCTGGGTCTTGAAAATAGGCGTCCACCTAGGCTGGTGGTGTTCTTAGGTGCCATTGAGTTGGCTCTGACTCATTGTAATCCTATGTATAATAGAAAAAAAAAACATTGCACGGTTCTGCTGCATCCTCACAATAGTAGGTATGTTTGAGCCCATTGTGGTAGCCACTATGTCAATCCATCTCTTTGAGGGTCTTCTATTTTTCACTGACCATCTATTTACCAAGCACGAAGTCCTTCTCCAGGGATTGGTCCCCCCTGATAACATGTCCAAAGAACATAAGACAAAGTCTTGCCATCCTCGCTTCTAAGGGGTATTCTGGCAGTACTTCTTTAGAGACAGATTTGTTTGTTCTTCTGGCAGTCCATGGTATATTCAGTATTCTTTGCCTATACCACAATTCGAATGTGTCAATTCTTCTTTGGTCTTCCTTTTTCATTACCCAGCTTTTGCATGCATATGAGGAGATTGAAAAGACCACAGTGTGGGTTGGGCACACCTTAGTCCTCAAAGTGACATCTTTGCTTTTCAACACTTTAAAGAGATCTTTTGAAGCAGATTTGCCCAATGCAATATGTCATTTGATCTCTTGACTGCTGCTTCCATGAGCCTTGATTGTGGATTCAAGTAAAATGAAATCCATGACAACTTCAATCTTTTCTCTGTTCATCATGTTGTTGCTTATTGGTACAGTTGTGAGGAATTTTGTTTTCTTTATGTTGAAGTATAATCCATACTGTGATAGTTAAGATTGTGTGTCATCTTGGCTGGGCCATGATTCTCAGTGCTATGTGATAGCCCTGTGATGGGATCTGCTGTGAGTAGCCAATCAGTTGAAACAAAGTTTCCTTGGGCATGTGGCATGCATCCGAATATAAGTGGACATTCTGGCTTTCACCTGTTCTGGATCCTGCAGCTTCCTCCTGTTTGTCTGACCTCTGGTTCTTGGGACTTGAGCTAGCAGTTTATCTGCCAATCTTGGGATTCATCAATCTTTACAGGCTGTGAGCAAGAGCACTGCTCTCCGACCTGCCGTTCTTGGGTAGTGCTAGCCTCTGTGGCTATGTGAATCAGGAGAATCCTCTATCCTGATCCATGGACTTGGGATGTTCCGGCCTCTACAATTGCATGAGCCGTTTCCTTGATGTAAATCTCTCTGTATATGTATTTATAAGCTTTACTGGTTTTGCTTCTCTAGAGAATCCATCCTAAGACAAAAACTGAAGCCTGTAGTCTTTGATCTTCATCAGTAAGTGCTTCAAGCCCTCTTCATTTTCAGCCAGCAAGTTTTTGTCATCTGCATAGCAGAGGTTGTTAATGAGTCTTCCTTCAATCCTGATGCCCTATTCTTCTTCATATAGTCCAGCTTCTGAGATTATTTGCTCAGCATACAGATTGAATAAGTATGGTGAAAGGGTACAACCCTGGCACACACCATTTCCAATTTTAAACTATGCAGTATCCCCTTGTTCTGTTTGAATGACTGCCTCTTGGTCAAAGTACAGGTTTCACGTGAGCATGATTAAGTGTTCTGGAATTCCTATTCTTCTCAATGTTATTCATAATTTGTTATGACTCACACAGTCAAATGCCTTTGCATAGTCGATAAAACACAGGCCAACATCTTTCTGGTATTCTCTACTTTCAGTCAAGATACATCTGACTGGTAAAGGATGAGACAGTCAACCTCTAACTACAGACCACTGAACTCTTACTCCATGATCATTCTCTGATCAGAGAGGGCCCCGACCACCCTGCGTATACATTGAGACAGCAACTTGGGCACTTGGTTCTTTTCCAGACACCACTGTTCTTGCTCTAATTATATTCCAGGACTTGGACCTTGAGATCAACCCCGATGGCATTCATGACACACTTTGTCCACACAATAATAGTAGCTTACATCTAGATAGCACTTAATAAGTTCCAGGAAGCCTTCTGAGTGCTTCATACATCTTAACTCATTGTCTTAAGCTGGGCTGTCTATAGAAGCAAAACTAGTGAAGCATCTATATATAGAGAGAGTGGGGAATTTAAGTCAAGGAAATGACTCAAGTGGTTGTAGAGGCTGGAAAGTCCCAAGACCATGGGTCAGGCTAGAGGCTTCTCCCAACTCATATAGTCACAGGAGCTGGAGAGCCCAATATCAGCAGGTCAGACAACAGTCCTCTGGCTCACAGGTTGTGGAGGTCAATAAATTCCAATGTTGGCAGATAAGCTGGCAGACCACTGGCTCACAAACTGTGGAGGCTGATGAATTCCAAGATCAGCAGGTAAGTTGCTAGCTTAAGTCCCAAGAATCAGAGGTCAGATGAACTGGAGCCAGCTGCAGGATCCAGAGCAGAGCAAAAGCCAGGGAGCCTTGCCAGAAAGTCCGCCTATATTGGATATAGGCAACATCCCCCAAAAAACTCCCTTTCAACTGATTGGCTACTCAAGGCAGACCCCATCATGGAAGTGATCACATTATGTCACCT